TCTTTTTTTTTGAGACAGAATCTCACTTTGCCCCCCAGGCTAGAGTGCAGTGGCACAATCTCGGCTGATAGGATCCTTGACCCCCCAGGTTCAAGAGATGCTCCTGCCTCAGCCTCCCGAGTAGCAGGAACTACAGGCATGTGCCACCATGTATGGCTAATTTTTGTATTTTTTGTAGAGATAGGGTTTCGATATGTTGCCCAGGCTGGTCTTGAACTCTTGAGCTCAAGGAATCCACCCACCTCAGCCTCCCAAAGTGCTAGGACTACAGGCGTGAGCCACTGTGCAGAGCCAGTTTCTTCATTTTCTTTTTTTTGAATTTTTCATTAAACAAGTTGCGAGTTTAGATTTCTTCATTCTCTATAGATTTCTTCCACATAGAGATCTATAAGATCTATTACTTTTGCAATGATGGGGAGAAATTTTTTCTTTTTAAAAAGAAGGAATGGCTGGGCATGGTGGCTCACACCTGTAATCCCAACACTCTGGGAGACTGAGGAGGGTGGATCACCTGAGGTCAGGAGTTAGAGACCAGCTTGACCAACATGGTGAAACCCCATCTCTACTAAAAATAAAAAAAATAAAAAAAATTAGCTGGGTGTGGTAGCAGGTGCCTGTAATCCCAGCTACTTGGGAGGCTGAGGCAGGAGAATCGCTTGAACCTGGGAGGCAGAGGTTGCAGTGAGCCAAGATCACACCATTGCACTCCAGCCTGGGCAGCATAACAAGAGCAAAACTCCTCAAAAGAAGGAAGTGGAGGGGGAAGGGGAGGGGGAAAAGGAGGGAAAGGGGAATGGGGAGGAACTGGCTGGGTACAGTGGCTCATGCCTGTAATTCCAACACTTTGGGAGGCCAAGGAGAGTGGATCACATGAGATCAGGAGTTCGAGACCAGCCTGGTCAACATGGAGAAACCTTGTCTATACTAAAAAATTAGGTGGACATGGTGGCGCATGCCTGTAATCCCAGCTACTCAGGGGGCTGAGGCAGGAGAATCACTTTAACCCAGGGGGCGAAGGTTTCTGAGAGCCAAAATCATACCACTGTACTCCAGCCTGGCTGACAGAGTGAGAGCCGATCTCAAAAAAAAAAAAAAAAGTAAAAATTTAAAGAAAGAAAAGCCAGGCGCGGTGGCTCACGCCTGTAATCCCAGTACTTTGGGAGACCGAGGTGGGAAGATCACGAGGTCAAGAGATTGAGACCATCCTGGCCAACATGATGAAACCCCGTCTCTACTAAAATACAAAAAGTAGCTGGGTGTGGTGGCGCACACCTGTAGTCCCAGCTACTTGGGAAGACTGAGGCAGGAGAATCGCTTGAACCTGGGAGGCGGAGGTTGCAGTGAGCTGGGATTGCACCACTGCACTCCAGCCTGGCGCCTGGCGACAGAGCAAGACTCTGTCTCAAAAAAAAAAAAAAAGGAACATAGAACATGACTGGGTGTGGTGATTGGTGGCTCATATTGGTAATCTCAGTGCTTTGGGAGGCCAAGGTGGAAGGATCGCTTGAGGTCAGGGGTTCGAGACCACCCTAGGCAAGAGGGTAGACCTCATCTCTACAAAAATGAAAAATAAAAAGAATAGGAACATCTAACATGTTCAATTTTTTTTTTTTTTAAGGGAACAGCAAATACCCTCTTCTGGCTCATCCAGGGGAGGAGGTCCCATGCATCCACCCACAAACTCCCCAACAGCCCAACAGATGGCTTTGGAAATGAAGTGCCACCCGCCACACTGCCCACCGCTTCCAGCTGAATGCTGGCCTGGGCCTCCCTTGCATCCCTTACTCCCTCCCTTTCCTCTACCCATTGGCCCCATTCAAAACAAGCTTGTGTTAGAGAACATGCTGTCCTGTGTGCTCCTAGCACTTGGGCAGAACTCCGTACTTCCCAGGCTGTAGTGGAGGTGTTCATCTCAAGAAAGACTTGCAATGACATGTGGTCAGGATGAAAGGGGGATGGGAACTTCTGGCCAGACTGGAGACCAGACCTCTGCTGGGCTTAGAAGATAAAGCTCTCACTCCCCAGGAAGGGGAGTGGGAGCGGAAAACTGGTCCTTAATCTAATCAAGGAGAGGGAGAAGGGAGGAGGAATCACAGCTCTGAGATGCTGTGCTGGCTCCCTGTCTCCTACCTCCTGTCCCCTGCCCTGGCAATAAAAAGAGCTGGCCTGGGAGGAAGGAGTTGGATGCACTGCTAAGTAGCTGTGTATCTGTGGGCAAGTCATTGCCCAATCTGGGCCTTAGGGACTTCTTTCCTTCCTCCTTCCTCTGTCTTCCTTGAGCCCTTGCAGCATGGAGAGGACTGGAAAGGGCATGGGAAAGTGGGGGACCCCTGGCATCTTTGCCCTCATGATGAGGAGCTCCAGAAGGGAAGGCTTCCATCTGGATTTTACATTCCAACCTATGCAAGAAGGGATGGCTGGATGGGGACGGGCAGCTCAGAAGAAAGCCCCAGCTCTGGGGCTGGGCGTAGTGGCTCACGCCTATAATCCCAGCACTTTGGGAGGCCGAGGCAGGCAGATCACTTGAGGTCAGGAGTTCAGGACCAGCCTGACCAACGTAGTGAAACCCTATCTCTACAAAAAATACAGAAATTACCCATGCATGGTGGTGAATACCTGTAATTCCAGGTATTCGGGAGGCTGAGGCAGAAGAATCACTTGAACCGGAAGGTGGAGGTTGCAGTGAGCCGAGATCACACCACTGCACTCCAGCCGGGATGACAGAGCAAGACTCTGTCTCAAAAAAAAAAAAAAAAAAAAGCCCTAACCCTAGAACTCTGGGTCTACAGGTTTTCTTGAACTTCCCAGGCATCCAGCCTCAGCCACCACTTGGGGCCCCCGGGGAAGCTCTCCTTGGCACCCATGCCAGGGTCTCAAAGAAATCCTACTTAACAGAGAAGCCAGTCCAGGGGAAGTACAACCTCACCCTCCACCCTGACCACACCCTCATTCCTTGCCCTTGCCCTGAGTTCAAAATGCAGAATCCCTGGGCAGGACTGTTCAGTGGGAGGTTCTGTCTCCCTCTTTCATCCCCTGCAGACAGGGAGGGCTCTAACCAGCTAGGGAAGGAGTGTGGTTGGAAGAGCCAAAATCAGGAGCTGACACCTTGGAGGCCCCTCTGCTAGGGATGGGGGACACCTCTGCACCTCTCCCCCCAAATCTGGAGACATAAGCCCACCAAGTGACAAGAAATGAAAATATATCCCTGAAGATTTGAAGACAGAAAAGCAGAATTTAGGCGGGGTGGGGTGGGGAGGAGAGAGCTCCTGGCGGGACAGAGGGTCAGTTCTGGCCAGTTCCCTTCCAGCCTGGCCTGGGGCCTCAACCTGTCCCTGGGCTATAGGACTCAGCCCCAAAAGATTGGGAGAGAAGAGTCACAGGTGTGCCTGGGGGAGGGGCCTGTAGCACATGTTCCCAGCAGAACCAGCCCAGCAGTTCTGTCAAGTAGGCCCCAGCACTGATACACACTTGGGCACCCTTCCGAATCAATACACACCCACCCCAATCCTGCCAGCCACAGGGATGGCGAGGGGAACAAATCTGAGTTTCTGGCAGTGCTGGGTAGGAAGAAGCAAGTTCCTTAGGAAATCTTCTGCAGAAGTGGGGGTTGCCAGCACCTTCTCTTTCTCCCCAGGTCCTTTCATCTGACTCCAGAGAAGAGGAGGCAGAGGTTGGCGGGGGGGAAGTGGGGGTGTGGAGAATGATGAACCTGCTCTTAGGAGTCTGCCTTTGCACAAAGGGTGGCAGGGGGTAACTGGAGGTCTGGGCAACTGGAAATAATTGTGCTCGTTTTTATTCTTTTTTAGAGACATGGTCTCCCTATGTTGCCTAGGCTGGCCTTGAACTCCTGGACCCAAGCTATCCTCCTGTCTCAGCCTCCCAAAGTGCTGGGATTACAGGCGTGAACCACCACACCCAGCCCTGTGCTCGGTTTTTACTCCCTGCTCCCACCAGAAGACTAAGAGGATCTAATTGCTCTGCATTATCAGACATAGCTGGCCCTGGTGCTGCTGAGTAGGGGCACTCAAGCCCTTGAGATGTTAGTGTTTTATTCTTACAATCACCAGGAACATTGGGGGCTTATGTCTTCCCCCTTCTGTCTTGAAGGGTGTATGTTTGGCAGTCCTCACTGCCACCAACCACAGACAGCTACTACTTCTCCCTCTCCCTTGGGAAGAGCTACCATTCCAAAGCTGGAAAACTCATGGCTTAGTCACCAGGGCCAAGCTGGCTCAATCCAGCCTAGGCTTCCCCAGCACCAGCCGCTGCCATCATGCCACTGAGCCAGTCAGCAGGACTGAGTACACAGAGGTGACTTAAGGCCAGGGAGGAATTACTTTCCATTCTCACCACATCCTATAAGGAGGGAAAAAAATCAACCTGAGACTGGGGAAGTGGGCAGGATGGGAACAGAATGGCTCTTTCAGGACTTACCTATATAGACTTAGGTGTCCCCAAGGTCAAGAACCTAGGGAGCGGCCGGGTGTGGTGGCTCATGCCTATAATCCAAGCACTTTGGAGGCCAAGGTGGGCGGATCACCTGAGGTCGGGAGTTCAAGACCAGCCTGACCAACATGGTGAAACCCTGTCTTTAAAAAAAAAGAAGAAAATATTTTTAATTGAAAAAAGTTAAAAAAAGAAATAATAATTAAAAAACCTAGGAGCAGCTCACAAGAGCAAAATTTGAAGTTAAATTTGCAAGGAGCAGTTGATATAAGGGACAAGTAAGACCCAGAGGATGAGGGGAAGGGTGTTAAATCAGAGAAAAAGGAAGTGACCCCACCCAAAAGGCTACAGAGTTCAGGCAATAACTCGAAGGGTTTTCAACTCCCCCTATCACTTTCACTAGCCATCCATAACACAGAAGCTGAGTTTTCTAAGTGCTTCCTTTGCAAATTCAGCTACAAGAGAAATCTCCCTCCTCCCCTCCCCCCAATGCCACATAGAAATCTGGCACTATCTCTAAGGCAAGATAAGGAGAGGAAAATGCCAGACCAAAGTAAGAGCTACAGCGTTATCAGTCTTTAATAACTTACAGGCAAGTGCTAAAAAACAGTTAATAATAATACAGAGGACACACACGGCTTATAAAAAGGGTCATGGATCTACAAATATGGGGGACTTTCACAGACACAAAAATAAAAACTATGTGACTGGTATCCCTAGAAAAGCAGCCTCGGGAGACTCACCAGTTGCGGGGACAGAGGACGGGGAGACCGTTTTCATCCCAAACACATTCTCCAAGCCACTTTCCATCCCCACCAAAACACATCCAATTAAAAAGCCAGAGAACAAAAACGAGGAACGGGGTAGAGGTAGAGTCACAGTTTACATTTACACCTCCACATTCCTGCAGCCCCCACTTCTCAAGAGAGGATGAGGGAGAGATGTGCAAAGCCATCCTATCTCCCATCCCCAACCCAATGTGGCACCAAACAGGACCCCCCCTCCATGTTCCTCTATCCTTCATAGAGGTGGAAGGGTCCTGCACCCAGGCTGACTGAGAGGTCACAGGCTGGCCACACACACCCTGCTGTCCAAGTGTGCAGATCCCTACTAGGTGGGGGGCAAGGGAGGTGGAGGGCTCGGGTCACCGTCTCTTCTTGCTGCCCCGAGCCGCCTTCTTCCTCTTGAGGATCATCTCGTAGAGGCGCTCCAGGCCCTGCTGCAGGCCCAGACCGTCCACAGCGCTGCAGCCTTGCACATGGGTGAGAGTGGCGGCTGCTAGCTCTCGGACTGCCAGCCTCTTCTCCACCTCAGCAGCGCTCAGTGCCCCGGGCTGGTCCTGCTTGTTGGCCAGCACCAGCACGGGCACACCCTGGTTGTCCGAGGCCCGGCTGATTCGGTGCAACTCCACCTTGGCCTCCTCCAGCCGTTCGGCCTCCGCAGCGTCCACCACAAACACCAGCCCGTCTGTCCGGCGGGTGTAGGAGCGCCAGAGCGGTCTCAGCTTCTCCTGCCCCCCGACGTCCCACACTTGGAAGGTGATGCCACGCGACCCCCCGAGAGGCACCCGGATCTTCTCGGTGTTGAAGCCTTTGGTGGGGACACTCTGGACAAACTCCTTGAACTTGAGGCGGTAAAGGAGGGAGGTCTTTCCAGCAGAGTCCAGCCCAATGACCACGACATGCAGGGCTTGGAAGTGAGGCAAGAAGGAGGAGGCGGTGGGTGCCATCTCAGTCAAGTGGTTCCCCATAGTGAACTAAGGCGCCTAGCAGAGGCAGGGAGGAGGCCTTGAAATGGCAGGTTCCAGGGTGCACTCCTGGGTTATCCGAACCAATATAAAGTCATGGGAGAAAGAGGAGACGTTTAATAACACACACAAGATTTGCAACTTTTTGATCCCTTTCTAAATCAGCCAGCTTTTAAAAATTCCTTGCCTTTTATTTTTAAGCTGCAGGTGTCACAGAGGTGCCCCCCAACTCTCTGGGGTGTCATGAGGGGGGCGATGGGACCTAGAGAGACCCCCAGGTCCTGGGCCACTCAAGCTGGGAGTGAGGGCTCGATCCATGGACGATGGGCTTCTAGAGCCTCTTACCAGAGCCTATGGCGCCATTCCCCAGGCGAGATCCCCGCGGGAAGTCGACAGTGTCCCCAAACTAAGAGTTGGGGCGCAGACGCTGAGGCCGGAGATTGAGTCTGGCTCCCACCGGCCCTCCGCACCCCAAGCCGTTGACAGGGTGCCCTTCTTTACTCCGCGACCCCCGCCCCACCGCCCCGCGACACTCCCCTGCCCGCCCGCCCCCCTCGGATCGCCAACACTAGCTCCAGCGGCCCCCACCGGGACCGCCTCAGCACGGTCTGGAGTATCCGCTTACCTCTTGTGAGCCGCGCTCTCCTCGCTCCTTTCCCGGCCAAACACTGCATCCGCCCCGCGAGACCCCTGCAAGCACCCTGCGCGCCTCTACCGCCGCCTCTGAGGAGGCTGCCTAGGGCTCGGCCTTAAAAACTCGCGTGTGACGTCACGAGACGCGGACCAATCAGCGGGGCGGGGTGGAGCGTGGAGCTACTGGCGCTGCAGCCCCCGCCGCAAGTGAAGAGACGCTTTCCCAATTTGTGGTCGCTCTATTTGATTTTTTTCAATCGCATTCGAATATTTGGAATTAAACCTGAAATTAATCCGGAATGAAGGGTGGGAGGGGCAAAAGGAACATGCCTGGCAGCGTTTGACTCCGGAGGAAATATATGAATACCCTAATATTTGGACTATCACCGCATCCCCTCCCCCAGGCAGAAATACCACTCCATATAGAGGCTGACAAGTCTTTCTCCTTTATCCTTCATAATTCAATTGTCAAACCTCTGTGAACCTGGAACCGCACAAAGCAGCTGCTTCGCAGTGCTAAGACCATTACCCACAAGAGCCTGTTAGGGACTGTCTGCCTTTTACAGATAAACAAAGCCATGAAGGGTTAAATGACTTATCAAAGGTTACACATAGCTAGTAAGTGGCTGAGCGAGGATGTCTGAGTCCAGAGCCTGGGCCCCTCACCACTTGGCTTTCCCTCCTCTCTTATCAGGGAAGCTGTAGGGCTAAGCATCCTCAATAGAAATCCCTCAATTGCCAGCTGAGTTTAGTCCAGCAGCAGACCCCTCAAAGGCCTTCCTTGTTAAAATAGATTGACAGCGACAGAATTATTTATCACTCAACAGTGTGTTTAGGTGCAGTAGCTCACACCTGTAATCCCAGTACTTTGGGAGGCCAAGGCAGGCATATCACTTGAGCTCAGGAGTTCGAGACCAGCCTGGGCAACAGGGTGAAACCTCGTCTCTATTAAAAAGACAAAAATTAGCCGGTTGTGGTGGTACAGGCCTGTAATCCCAGCTACTCAGGAAGCTGAGGCAGGAGAATCGCTTGAACTCAGAGGTGGAGGTTGCAGTGATCTGAGATTGCACCACTGTACTCTAGCCTGGGCGACAGAGCGAGACTCTGTCTCAAAACAAAACAAACAGACAAAAAACCAGTATGTTTACTGATCTCATTCATACTGTGTGCTCTGAGTAAGACAGAGAGACCATGGAAAAATAGAGGCTGTCTCGGCTGTAGAACCAGGCCTCAGAGGGCTTAAGACTGATCACTAGCAGGGTAGAATGAGACAGCACATATATTGGGTCTTTGTAAATCATGAGATAGCACTTGTAGGATTTCAGAGGAGAGAGAGAATATGTCAACTGGAAGCTTCTGGAAAGGTTCACAGAAGTTCTTTAGCCCTGTGTAGGACTGGTTAGGAGGGGCACAGGAACAAGTGGAGTCTCCCCAGCCACTGCAGCCTGCTACAGTCTCGGCAGCCCTGAAAGGAAGGAGATGTCACAAAGGGGCACTGTGACCAAAAGGACAACAGTAATTAGGTGGAATTGCGGGGGAGGGGGAGGGCAAATCAGAGAAGAATGAAGTTGTACGTTGTAACTTTAATATTCCCATTTTTGCCTGGAGGTTGGATTCATTGATTTATTGTATAGTTCAATATTAACCTTTTTTTAAAAAGCTATGTGTGAGAGGGATTGGAAAAGGAGAAGGGAAGTCACTGCCAGACAGCAGGGCCCAGCCTTTTCCTTCCCACCCTCCTCAATCAAGTGCTGATAAATAAGCTTCCCATCTGTTTGTCACCAGCATGCCTTGCCACCTCCTTTTTTCCCCCTGCACTACAAAACCAGCCACCTGGTTTCTCCAGCAACGCAGGGAGCCTCCCCAAATCCCTAAAGACCTTAGGAAATTAGTCTAAGATTAAGACCTTAGGAAATTAGTTTGTTACACCCAAGTTGGAGCATGACAGACTGCAGCAGCAGCTAATGTTCCAGTGATAGAGCTGAGCATGGTGAAGTTAGGAGAGGGGAAGACGGAGCAGGCCCAGGGGTTAAGAAACACTGCATTGCTGAGTAGCCACTGGGCGCCAGGCTCTGGTCTATGAACTTTGCTTACTTTTCCTTTTTTAATACACAAGTCTGCCAGGTGCAGTGTCTCACGCCTGTAATCCCGGCACTTTCGGGGGCCAAGGTGGGCAGATCACCTGAGGTCGGGAGTTCGAGACAAGCCTGACCAACGGGGTTTAGTTTAGTAGAAACCCCGTCTCTACTAAAAATACAAAAAATTAGCCAGACATGATGGTGCATGCCTGTAATCCCAGCTACTTGGGAGACTGAGGCGGGAGAATCACTTGAACCTGGGAAGTGGAAGTTGTGGTGAGCCAAGATCGCGCCACTGCACTCCAGCCTGGGCAACAAGAGCAAAACTCTGTCTTAAAAAAAAATACACAAGTCAACCCCATGAAGTAAGTATGGTTAGTCTAAAAGGAAGAAACTGAAGCACAGAAAGATTAAGTAATTTGTTGAAGGTCATCCAGCTAGAAACTGATGTTATAATGTCTATGAGACTGAAAACACACAGAAACTGAAAACACACAAGTTCCCTTGTTTTGGCCACAATCTTTGAAGCTTCTTTAACATGGCTCCTCTAATATATCTTGGGACTCACACCCAAGACAGAAATTGTCACTTATCTGATAAAGGAAATGAAACTGACAATCCCATCCCACCCTTCAGTCTTTCATGTTTGCCAGAAAAGGTGTTAATGAACAAATGGGAAGCAGAAGGTGGGGCTGGGGAGGGTGAAGAAAGGGACCCGGCTTGCCCAGGTAGCACTAAGCTATAAGCCTATACTGCTGAGACCATCTGAACATTTGTACATTAAGCAATCTTTCTTTTTTTGGAATGATACAGAGATTAGCATGGCCCCTGCGCAAGGATGACATGCAAATTTGTGAAGCATTCCATATTTTTTCAAAATAAAAATTATTATTATTATTTTTTACAGGCAAGATCTCGCTCTGTCACCCAGGCTGGAGTGCAGTGGCGAGATCATAGATGATGGCAGCCTTGAGCTCCTGGGTTCAAGAGATCCTCCACCTCAGACTCCTGAGCACGGGCCACCACATGTGGCTAGAGAACTACTTTAGACTGGAGGAAGAGTGTACTGGAGAACCTTTCAAAGAGGGGACACTGAGCCAAGGTTTAAGTGACACCAAGTCAGATAAGCATCATTCTTCCTCAGAACTGTCTCCTCCACCAGACTAAGCCATCAAGGGAAGCAGCTGGTTCTGATCTGTAGCTCCACCATGCCCGGCACCATGCCTGGCACACACAGGCAGTCAGAAAATCTTGTGTGAATAAATGAATGCGTGATGGAGTAAATGTCCTCAGAGGGCTCCCTAAGTATAAGAGCCAAACCTCCACCCTTAGCTTGGGAGTTTCCCAGCCTGAGGTCCTTGGGCCCTTGGGGTTCTGTTGATACTGGGTTGGCCAATAATTCCTACCATCCTTGCATTTCTAGGCAGTGTCTGAGTAGTATAGAACTCTTAGGCCTTACTGATGAGGAGGATCTTAAAGAGAAAAACAGGGCCAAAGATGGGGATGACACTGGACAGAGAGGTTGCCCTCAGGGCATGCTGGAACCCGGGCTGATAGCACGTGAGTCCCATTATTCCATCCCTCACTAATAGAGTGGCTTGAAAAAGTAAGAAGCCACTTCCAGCTGGGCGTGGTGGCTCATGCCTGTAATTCCAGCACTTTGAGAGACCTAGGTGGACGGATCACCTGAGGTCAGGAGTTCAAGACCAGCCTGGCTAACATGATGAAACCCCCGTCTCTACTAAAAATAAAAAAAATTAGCAGGGCAGGCTGGGTTCAGTGGCTCATGCCTGTAATCCCAGCACTTTGGATGGCCGAGGTGGGCGGATCACCTAAGGTCAGGAGTTTGAGACCAGCCTGGTTAACATGGTGAAACCTTGTTTCTACTAAAAATACAAAAAATTAGCCAGACGTGGTGGCAATTGCCTATAATCCCAGCTACTCAGGAGGCTGAGGCAGGAGAATCACTTAAACTGGGAGGCAGAGGTTGCAGTGAGCCGATATCACGCCATTGCACTCCAGTGTGGGCAACCAGAGTGAAACTCGGTCTCAAAAGAAAAAAAAAGGCCGGGCACGGTAGCTCACGCCTGTAATCCTAGCACTTTGGGAGGCCGAAGTGAGTGGATGACCTGAGGTCAGGAGTTCAAGACCAGCCTGGCCATCATTGTGAAACCCCATCTTTATTTATTTATTATTATTTTTTGAGACAGAGTTTCGCTCTTGTTACCCAGGCTGGAGTGCAATGGCACAATCTCGGCTCACCACAACGTCCGCCTCCTGGGTTCAAGCGATTCTCCTGCCTCAGCTTCCCGAGTAGCTGGGACTACAGGCATGTGCCATTATGCCCAGCTAATTTTTTTGTATTTTTAGTAGAGACGGGGTTTCACCATGTTGACCAGGATGGTCTTGATCTCTTGACCTTGTGATCCACCGCCTCGGCCTCCCGAAGTGCTGGGATTATAGGCGTGAGCCACCATGCCCGGCCTTTTTAAAAAAAATAAAGTAAAATGAAAAGCAGGACATGGAGGCACATGCTTGCAGTCCCAGCTACTTGGGAGGCTGAAACAGGAGAATAGCTGGAACCAGGGAGGCAGAGGTTGCAGTATGCCGAAATCATGCCACTGCACTCCAGCCAGGGTGACAGAGGGAGACTTCATCTCAAAAAAAAAAAGTCACTTCCCCTCCTGGAAGCCTCGGTTTCCTCAGCATGTAATGATGTAATGAGGGGCTTAGATGTTTCCAGGTCCTTTCCCCCATAACAGTCCATGCTCTGGAGTAAAGGAGGGTAGGAGGTTGAGTGGAGCTCGCCTAGGAAGTGGCTGCTTGTCTCTGCAGCATCTTAAGTACCTGTCTTCGTGAACAAACGAGGGAAAGAGGAGTCTGCAGGAGTAGGGGGGTGGGGTTGGGGAATGACTCCAAGGAGCAGTTATAAGCTCGGGAATAACGAAGACCAATTTTTCAAATCCCAGTTCTGTTTCCTCATGAACAAAATGAAGAAAACCGAACCTATCTCTGAGTGTGGAAGGAAAATGTGTGAAAGGGCCCCAAAGATATCCTTCTCCCCAACCAAGAGCTCTTTCCCTGGCAACCATCCCAAAATCAAGTCCCAGGGTGGAGCCAAGGGCTAGAAATGAGCAGATGCTGCCCCCTGGTGGATATATTTGTCACTGCCCGATTGGTGAAGAACAGCTGAGTCGCCGAGGGTGAAGTTAATTCAGGTTCCTTTGTCTCGGCTTCCGAAGTCTTCCTTTCAGACAGGGCCTTTCCTGCAGTTTCAGATTGGATATTAAAAAATACACCAGCCGAGCGCGGTGGCTCACGCCTGTAATCCCAGCACTTTGGGAGGCTGAGGTGGGTGGATCACTAGGTCAGGAGTTCAAGACCAGCCTGGCCAAGCTAATGAAACCCTGTCTCTACTAAAAATACAAAAATTAGCTGGGTATGGTGTCGTGTGCCTGTAATCCCAGCTACTCGGGAGGCTGGGGCAGAGAATTGCTTGAACCTGGGAGGTAGAGGTTGCAGTGAGCCAAGATCGTGCCACACTGCACTCCAGCTTGGGCAACAGAGTGGGACTCCGTATCAAAAAAAAAAAGAAAAAAAGAATAAGGAAAAAGAAAACACATCCTCTTCAGGCCGGGCTCAGTGCTTACACCTGTAATCCCAGCACTTTGGGAGACTGAGGCAGGCAGATCACGAGGTCAGGAGTTTGAGACCAGCCTGGCCAACATGGTGAAACCCTGTCTCTACTAAAAATACAAAATTTATCTGGGTGTGGTGGCGGGCGCCTGTAATCCCAGCTACTCTGGAGGCTGAGGCACAAGAATGGTTTGAACCCGAGAGGCTGAGGTTGCAGTGAGCCGAGATCACCATTGCAGTCCAGCCTGGGCAACAGGGCAAGGCTTGGTCTCAAAAAAACAAGACAAGACAAAACAAAAACAAACAAAAAACACCCTCTTCAAGTTTGTAGTGTGTGAGTGATACTAAATCAAAATGAACGTTATTTGAGCAGAAATTCTAATTTTGATGACATTTTCCATCAATTTACATAGTCTAATAATAGGTCCAGGGAACACTGACTGAGGCAGGCAGGAGATGGCTGCAGGGTGGGGAAGCATTTTTTTCTTTTTTTTGAGACAGGGTCTCACTCTATGGCCCAGGCTGGAGAGCAATGGTGTGATCTCAGCTCACTCTAACCTCCACATCCTGGGCTTCAGTGATCCTCCCACCACAGCCTCCCAAGTAACTGGGACTACAGGCGCGCACCACCATGCCTGGCTAATTTTTTTTTAATTTTCTTTTTTTTAGATAAAGTCTTGCTTTGTCACCCAGCCCGGAGTGCAGCAGCATGATCTCAGCTCACTCCAACTTCTGCCTCCCAGGTTCACAAGCATGTGCCACCACCTGGCTAATTTTTGTATTTTTAGTATAGATGGGGTTTCACCATGTTCCTCAGGCTGGTCTTGAACTTCTGGGCTCAAGTGATCTACCTGCCTCAGCCTCTCAAAGTTCTAGGATTACAGGCGAGAGCCACCACGCCAGTCTCCGGAAGGTTTTCAAGAGCTCAGTTGCAGCCATGGTGTGATGTCTGCAGGCTATCCATGTGGTGACAGATGTCCAGAGTGCATTTTCTCAGGAGCCTGGAGCTCAGGGGAGGCCTTTGCTGGAGGGGTGGACCTGGGTAGTCAGTGAGAAACAGACCCACCAGCCCTGAGATGGGTGGGATTCCCCAGGGAGAAATGGGGTGAGAGAAGGAAAGTGGCCCATAACACTGTCATGAGCATCTCTACATTCAAGGCAGGGAAATCGAGTGAAGGATGGAGAAGCAGCATCTGGAGAAGCACAAGGAAAACCATGGGACTTGAAAAGGCCACAAAACTGCAAGTGCCCGAAGCCAAGGAAAGTAAGGACTTGAGGAAGGAAAAGGGAGTGGCCCTCAGCATCCAGGGACTGAGAGGCCAGAAGGAATTCAGACAGCCTGGAGATGGGGGTTCCCAAGAGGTATTTCTAGGGGTGGCTAGAGAAGGGGACTGGAGATTTGGAGGACAGTTACAGCAACAGAGGCGACAGTGCCAAGAAGGGTTCTCTCCAGAAAATGTAGACTTGAACAAGGACTGAGATGGCATTGGAGAGCTTCCAGGAGACCAAGGGAGCTATCAGGAAAGCAACGAGAGGTGGCAGTCAGGTCCTTCTGTGACCTTGCAGACAGGCAGCCGTCGACCACCCAGGATTAGTCCTTATTGGACACAAAAGGAAACTCTCAGGCTCGTAGGTGTGGGTAAAAGGAGGTCACCTCAGTCTCAGCAAGTATGTCTGTCTCAGAACCAGCTTTCATGGCCTGGGTGCCAGGACTTCCTGAGGAGCAGAATGAGGGTCTTAATGGTGCAAGAGGTGTTATGGGCTGTTGGGACTTGGTGTGTGAAAGGCAAGAAGTGCACAGTTGGGGGGGGGGGTCCTCTGCCTCCCTGCAGGTTCTTGAGGCCACCGAAAACCAGCTGCATCCGCCCCCCCAACCACATCCGTTCAGCGTGTGCCACCCTTGGGGATAGCCCCCTGTGAACTGTCAGAATGGTTGTTCTAATTTCCCCCCAAATTTGGAGCCCACTCTGAGGTCTATTACAGCTCAGAGGTCTAGGGTAACCAACTCCCCTGGATTGCCTGGAACTTTGCCAGTTTTAGTTCTGAAAGTCCCATATTCCAGGAAACTCCTGATCCCCTAGCAAACTGGGATGACTGGTTACCCCACTGGGAGCTCAGACCTCCTCCTTCGCTAATGAGTTTTGAGGTCACAGGGACCATCGTAAGTTGTGAGACAGAGGGCTCTGGGCTCCTGCAAGAGCCTGCACTCTAGTGCAGCATAAAGGAGAAAGTGAAAAACACCATCCTGGCTATTGTAAATAATGATTTAAAAAAAGAAAGAAAGAAAGTGAAAAACACCGAGACAAGTGGAGAGAGCAGGAAGAAGAAAGAAAAAAGCTTCATATTTTACTGCATTTTTTCCTTTTAATAGTGATGGTATTTCACTATGTTGCTCAGGCTGGTCTCAACTTCCCGGGCTCAAGTGATGCTCCTGCCTCAGCCTGCCTGAGTAGCTATAACCACAGGTACATACCACCACGCCTGGCTAATTTTTAATTTATTATTATTATTACTATGATTATTTTTGCATAGTATCCCTATGTTGTTCAGGCTGGTCTTGAATTGCTGGGCTCAAGTGATCCTCCCACCTTGTCCTCCCAAAGTATTGGGATTACAGGCATGAACCACCATCCCCAGCCTCCTCTATATGTCTTTTCAGTCCACCTTCTTAAAATTTTTATTTATTATCATTTTTAAACTTATTTGTAGAGAGAAGGTCATGCTATATTGCCTAAGCTGGTCTCAAACTCTTGGACTCAAGCAATCCGCCCACCTTGGCCTCCAAAAGTGCTGGAATTACAGACATGAACCACCTTGCCTGGCCCTTATATACTTTTATGGTTCCATTTTTTTCACTTTGAAATCTTTGACCCACTTGGCATTTATCTTGATGTATGGTGAATGAGCCAAGATTGTAACACTGCACTCCAGCCTGCACAACAGAGGGAAACCTTATCTCAAAAGATAGATAGATAGATACATACATACAGACAGACAGACATAGGCCAGGCACAGTGGCTCACGCCTATAATCCCAGCATTTAGGGAGGCTGAGATGGGTGGCTGCCATATTGTCCTTCTCAGGATAATAGAATAGAGATGACAATGACAGGGTGGAGATTGGGGTAAAGTGAAATGAGGGAAACCCTTGCTGAGATGGAAAAAAAAAAAAGTAAGGGAGCACCAAGACTCAGCAATCCAGATAAATGTCTTGATTATCTAATAATTGAAATAAGATATATTGCATTGAACTATTATTTACTTTGATTACTGAAGGGTTCAGGAGAAACACCTTCTGAAATTCAGCCCTGGAGGACTGGCCTCACCCTAATCCTGGCTGTGGCTAACAATAATGCCCACCTTTTAAGGCGGTTGAGTGAATTAGAGCCCTCAGCCCGAGGCTGTCATTGGGATAGGCATAGCTTTTATTTTTTGACCTGGTTGTTTGTTCAACAGGCATCCTGCAGGGGGAGCGTGACTAGCTGAGTGTCACTATCGGATCTATGATAGCTTCTTGCTTTTCCGAAATCAAATAAAAGAGCCATAAACTCCCAACTCCACTGTAGTGTTAGGAAGGAGGACGGGAAAGGTAAATGCAGAAGCTACAGACGGCAGTCTGTGTCTCAAAGAGACTTACCCAACTTTGCCGGGGGCCTTGACGCCCATCTTCCCCCAGAGCACCCGGCAGACACTCCAGTCCTCTGGTGTCCTGCCACCCCGAGCCCGATCTTCCCCCTTCACGCCTGCCAGGGCCAAGAGCCTTCTAACTGTGTCCCGTCTGAGCCTGTGGTGCTTATCACAGCCTATCCGTAATTTCTTCGCTCCACAAAGGTTTACTGAAGGTCTTCAAATCTCCAGGCACCAGACTAGCGCGGGGAAACGGGGATAAGTGTTGATGAGGGTCTCAGTCCTCATTGATGGGATTTCAGAAGGGGAGATAAAGGACTGCCTGGAAGGGCCGTGAGCAGAGTAGCTGATAGAAATAACGGGGTGCGATGAAATACATAGGAGGGCTGCCAGCCACATATGGGGGGGTGAGGAGGGCCCTTAATTAAGGGAGGCTTCCCGAACGGGTGATACCCAAACGGAGTCCTGACAACCTGCGTCAGGAATAGCCAGGCGAGGAGGAAGAGGGGGTGAGAGGAATCCGTCCCAAGAAAAGAGGCAGCTTTCCCTACACGGCAGGGGACACAGTCCGTGCACAGATGCCACGGGAGGCGAGGGCGCTGGGGAGAATCCTTGCTGGGCCCTCGCCGTCCACGCGCCGCCTCCCTACATCCGGTATCTGGTGGTCAGCCTCCTGCCTGGCAGAGGGAAATGAGCCCCCCGTCCAGCAGGTACGAGGCTGGTCTCCCCACCCGATGGTGACGAAATAAAGACCCAGCGCAGCCTGGTCTCCTCTTACGATGATGCCTTTGCGACCTCGTCTTTCTCCAGGAAAACGTGGACCGCTCTCCGCCAACAGTTCTTTTCCACAGACCCATCTTGCCTTCGCCCCGCAGTCTCTTTCGGTTCTGTCTTTTGGCTGGATTGACACGAACAAGGAAGTCGCCCCCAGCGGAGCCCCGGCCCTTGATGCGGAGGCGGCCAGGGGGCGGAGTGAAACGAGGTGATCACGCCTCCTGGGGGAGAGGGCGGGGAATGCAAATTTGAAATGAAAGCCCGGAAACGCGGGAATAGCAAGGGTGTAAGATTTCTCTTTTAAAAAGTGGAGAATAAAAAATCAGCCCGAGTGTGTAATGGCGCGAATAGCGATGTGGATGTGACAACGAGAATGAGGCGAGGAGCGAGGCTGGGGCTCTCACCGCGACTGTAATGTGGATGACGGCGGGACGGTGACGGCGGGGACGAGAACGACAGCATCGCTTCTCGGCCTTTTGGCTAAGATCAAGTGTAGTATCTGTTCTTATCAGTTTAATATCTGATACGTCCTCTATCCGAGGACAATATATTAAATGGATTTTTGGCGCAAGGAGTTGGAATAGGAGCTTGCTCCATCCTCTCCACGCATCGACCTGGTATTGCAGTACTTCCAGGAACGGTGCACCCTCTCGGGGGACATAACGAGTTTATAACGTCAGATTGTTGTTTTGTTGTTTTGGTGTGATTCTAGTTTATCTCGCTAGTTTGTGCGTTTTCATGTTTCTTTTAATGCTAAGTTTTGCAATTTGTAGGAAACACACTGTGTACATGACTTTTGGCTTTTAAATTACAGTCGTTTTGTAAACTTGTAATCCGGCTTAAGGATTGGTGTGCTGGTAGTGTTGCTCTGGCTGGATTCAAAATTTTATTTTATTTTTTGAAATGGGTTTGTTTTTCTTACCCAGGCTGCAGTACGGCTAGCTGCAACCTGTTTCCCAAGACGCGTCAGCCTCCGTCATAGCTGAGATTACAGTCATGAGTGGCTAACTTTTGTATTCCTTGTAGAGATCGGGTTTTGCCAAGTCAGCCAGGCTGGTCTCTAACTCCCGATCTCAGGAGATCCACCCGCCTGGGCCTCCTAAAGTGCTGGGATTACAGGCGTTAACCTGGACCCCTTTCCAAACTTCAGACCCTGGAGTAGTTGGCATTTTAAGGCAGACACCAACGTACCAGCTACAAACTTTCTTTTTGACCCAGGAAAAACCGAGGCACAGGTAGTTTATTTATCGAGGAACACACAGGAGCAGAACTCGAGTTCAAACATTGTGTGCATATGTGCAATGATGGCCTTGACACCTGTCTTCCCCCAGAGCACCTGGCAGACACCCCTGCCCTTTGGTGTCCTCCCACCCCAAGCCCGATCTTCCCCCTTCACCCCTGTCCCAAGCCAATAGCCTCCTAACTGCGTCCTCTCTGATTGAGTCTTGTGCTCGTCGAGGCCTATCCATCATTTTTCCGCTCCACAAAGGTTTATTGAGTGCCTTCAACTCGCCAGGCACCAGACTAGTGTGGACAAAAGGGGATAAGTGTTGACGAGGGTCCCAGCCCTCAGTGATGGGATTTCAGAGGGGGAGATAAAGGATTGCCCAGGAGGGTAGTAAGTGGAGTAGTTGATAGAAATAACGGAGTGCGGCTAGGTGTGGTGGCTCACACCTGGAATCCAAGCACTTTGGAGGCCAAGGCAGGCGGATCATCTGAGGTCGGGAGTTCAAGACCAGGCTCACCAACATGGTGAAACCCCGTCTTTAAAAAAATAATAATAAATAATAAATAAAATAAAATAAATAGCGGAGTGCGATAAAATACATAGGAGGGCCGCTAGTCACATACAGGGCATGAAGTAGCACTTCATGCTACTGATGCGTCTTTAGGCTCTATTCTAGGTATGTATGTCATTTTAAGGATCAGCCACTAGCAGTTGCCTTGCAGCCATGATGACAGATCTCTCCCGACTCTTTTGGGTCTCATCTTTGTGTCTATAAATTGCATCCCAACATAATAATTGGAATTGTTCCTTTTGCTGACCCAATCTGCCACCCCTTCCAAGCTCTAGGAATCTTGTCTGTCCTCAGCAAAACTCCCCCCTGCTTCTTTCTCTAAAGGCTGTCTTCAGGCCAGACACAGTGGCTCATGCATGTAATCCTAGCACTTTGGGAGGCCCAGGTGGGAGGATGGCTTGAGCCCAGGAGGCCACAGTGCGGTGAGATCACACCATTACACTCCAGCCTAGGTGTCAGAGCTGGAGCCCTGTCTGAAAACAAAGCACAAAAGAAACAGACTAGCCAATGTAGTGAAACCCTGCTCACCGTGGCAAATATCTGCAAACCAGCTACTTCAGAGGCTGAGGCAGAAGGATCAATGGAGCCTGGGAGGTGGATGCTGCAGTAAGCTGTGCACTGCACTCCAGCCTTGGTGACAGAACCAGATCCCATCTCAAATAAATAAAAACAAAAGAACCGAAGGGTGGAAGCACAAATGGGTCCCATTGAACTTCAAGCCTTCAAGCTACAGCCATAACTGGACAGGTTGGACCAGCAGGCAGGAGCAGTTGCCATCTTGGCAGGGATTAATGACCCTGATCCATCCTCAGGAGGCGGTGGTGCTCGTATGCAGGGAGGGCAGGTGGAACACTCGTGGACTCTGGTGATCTGTTTGGGTGACACGTGTTACTCCCAGGTCTACCTGTGAAATGAATGGACAAGTGCAGGAACCCTGACTTGAGAAGGGTGTGGCCTTGAGGGCTATAGGCCCCTCAGGAATGAGAGTTTAGTTCACAGTACCAGGGAAACCACCAGGATCAGCAGAGGTGATAGCTGAGGATCAGGGGGATTTGGAGGGGAGAGGACAGGAGACACAGGATGAGTACCAGGGCAGCCAGTGACCAACTGCAAAAGAGGGACTGTCATTATACTCACTCACTTTCTGTAGCTCTGTGCAGTACGAAAGAGCAGGAGACAGAAGAATGGCAAGTAAAAGGGAGCCAGAAAATAACTGGAACAAAGCCACACTTTCCTGATTGACATTGACAGTAATATATAGGCACAGGCAGGGAGAGGCGTCTTCTCTTCACCTGGGTTTGAAATCAGTCTCTCTGTTAGAGTACAAGGCTGTCTGAAGGTATACACAGGGACCATCAACATTTACCAAGCTTTGGGCAAAGGTTAAGTGTCACTGTTGTTGCTCTAATCTGATACTGTTTTCTATTACATAATGTGCACAACAAATTTCTGCGTTTTTATTAAAAGAGCATCTTCTGTGCTACATGCAAATATATGATTTGAGAAACTCTGACCCCTGGCTGTTAAAGTATAAAAAGGTTTTCTTGTCTCAGAACAATGTTAGAGCAGATGTCAACTCACTGCTTCTAGAATAGCAGTCACTCCTTGATTTCACAAACTCAATAAACAGTCTTGCCGGGCGCGGTGGCTCACACCTGTAATCCCAGCACTTTGGGAGGCTGAGGCAGGTGGATCACGAGGTCAAGAGATCAAGATCATCCTGGTCAACATGGTGAAACCCCGTCTCTACTAAAAATACAAAAATTAGCTGAGCATGGTGGCGCGTGCCTGTAATCCCAGCTACTCAGGAGGCTGAGGCAGGAGAATTGCCTGAACCCAGGAGGCGGAGGTTGCGGTGAGCCGAGATTGCGCCATTGCACTCCAGCCTGGGTAACAAGAGCGAAACTCTATCTCAAAGAAAAAAAAAATCTGGAGACAAAAGATGCTGGAGAGGATGTGGAGAAATAGGAACACTTTTACACTGTTGGAGGTAGTGTAAATTAGTTCAACTACTGTGGAAGACAGTGTGGCAATTCCTCAAGGACCTAGAAATAGAAATTCCATTTGACCCAGCAATCCCGTTACTGGGTTTGCTTCGGTATATATCCGAAGGATTATACATCATTCTATTATAAGGACACATGCACATGAATGTTCATTGCAGCACTGTTTACAAAAGCAAAGACTTAGAACAAACCCAAATGCCCATCAATGATAGACTGGACAGGGAAAATGTGGCACATATACACCATGGAATACTATGCAGCCATAGAAAATGGTGAGTTCGTATCCTTTGTAGGGACATGGATGAACCTGGAAACCATCATTCTCAGCAAACTCACACAAGAACAGAAAAATCAAACACCACATGTTCTTACTCATAGATGGGTGTTGAACAATGAGAACACATGGACACAGGGAGGGGAGCATCACACACTGGGGTCTGTTGGGGGGGGACTAGGGGAGGGACAGCGGGGTGTGGGGAGTTGGGGAGGGATAACATGGGGAGAAATGCCAGATACAGGTGATAGGGAGGAAGGCAGTAAACCACGTTGCCATGTATGTACCTATGCAACAATCTTGCATGCTCTTCACGTGTACCCCAAAACCTAAAACACAATTATATATATATAAATTATATATATAAATATATATAAATACAAAAATTATCTAGATGTGGTGGCATGTGCCTGTAGTCCCAGCTACTCCAGAGGCTGAGGCAGGAGAATCACTTGAACCCAGGAGGTTCAAGACTGGAGCAAGACACCATTTCAAAAAATAAATAAATAAATAATTAAAGGTCAGGCACGGTGGTTTACACCCATAATCCCAACACTTTGGGAGGTCGAGGTGGGAAGATTGCTTGAGTTCAGGAGTTCCAGACCAGCCTGGGCAACACAGTGAGACCCTGTCTCTATTACAATAATAAAATACATTAAAAAAAATTTTTTTTTGAGACAGAGTCTCAATCTGTTGCCCAGGCTGGAGTGCAGTGGCACCAACTTGGCTCACTGCAACCTTCGCCTCCCTCGTTCAAGTGATTCTTCTGCCTCAGCCTCCCCAAGTAGCAGAAATTACAGGCATGCACCACCATGCCTAGCTAATTTTAGGGTTTCACCATGTTGGCCAGGCTCGAACTCCTGACCACAAGTGACCCACCTGCCTCAGCCTCCTAAAGTGCTGGATTATAGGTGTGAGTGACCGTGTCTGACCCAAATAAAATTTTTGAAAACCAAATTTATATAAAACTTAAAATTTAGTTCCTCAGTCACACTCCAAGGATCAATATAGCACACAGGCTGGTGGTTACCCTGTTGGACAGAACTCCTTTAAACCTCCCAGGCCTACACCCCTTGCCCTCCCTCAGACTAGTATAACAGGGAAATTGAGTCAGGTGATAGTGTTCCCCCCAACACAGACAG